CACCAATGAAGGAAAAACAGATAGCGGTGGAATAGTAGATGAAAGCAGCCATCCTCGTCATTGATTTCAAGAAAGTCTATGATGGACTGGACTGGGCCTTCCTGAATGCTAGCATGGAGAAGATTGGAGTGGCCCTGACTTCAGGAAGGCCCAGTCCAGTCGATCATAGACTTTCTTGAAATCAAAGAAGCCATGAGGCAGGGGCGGTGCAGCGCTGCTGGGAGTGCTGCACCGCCAGTGTTCTGATGGGATGAGGTCGGGAGTGCGATATCTGCGTGCGCATGGGCATGTGCCCACAGGCGCGTCCGCGCTTCAATGTGAGTGAATGTGCCCATATGTACACGCGTCGTTGCCGCAATGCGCCTGAGAGTGGGAGGGGGTAGACGGTGACTACGTTCCACGTGGCTTCATCTTGAGCGTGCACGCGCAGAAAAGTGGTTGTAGGCTTGATTAGGGGATAGTGGATCGAGTCTGTGTGTATCTCATCCCAGAGCAGCATAGTTTATCCTATCTGGTAGCGTCCACAGCGGGAAACAGCCATGTCAGGCATGTGGTGTGAAAGGCGTCCCTTCTTTCCCCGTAGTGGTGGGAAGAGGAACCAGTGGAAGGGCAGGGGTTGAGGGGCATGCAGGGTCGTGTTGCTCCTTCTGTTCTGGCAAACTGGGATGATGTAGTCGGAAGGAATGGAATAGGCTGGGATAGCGCAGAAATACAGTTAATGTCGGCTGGACAGAGTCATCAAGGGAAAGATCGTATCGGCCAGTGCTTCATCGCCAGGGAGGTCATCTTCAGAGTATCATCGTCATCGTCATCGCAATATCTTCATCGTTCTTCACCTATTTTCACCTTTTCTCCAGTCCTTTTCATTTTTCTTTCCCTCTCCTTCTCTCCTCCTTTCTCTCCTGCTTTGTCCCTTTTATCTCCTTTCTTCATACTCCCTTTCCCCTTTCATATCCCTAGTTCTGCTCTCTCAGCTCTCTCTTGAACTCCGCTGTGCCTCTGATGTTCACTTCTTTTTTTTTTTTTTTTTTTTTTTTTTTTGAAAAAACAGGCCTTATGGTCTTGGCTCCTTCTATTCTGGGGAGCGTCAGTCCGGTTCCTATTCCCCCGGCAAGTCATAAAATTTTTACATCAATTAAGAACTCGCACACGCATCCTTCCGTTTTGCCGAAGGACCCCTGAACAGCATTGATTGCTCCACAATTGTGGAGGATTGACTGTCAGCTTGCCCTGACCCTTTCTCTTCTCTCAGCTCTGGTGTTCGAGTCTGCCAGATAGTGACTATCATTCTGGAGAGAAACCCTCAATTGTCCTTTTTGCCTAAACCCTACCCATTCAGACTTCCTGTACCTTGATTGGGATGCCTTTCGACCTTAAACCCTAAACCCTCTTTTCTGTATACAGTGTTGATCATTGTACCTCCATAGCTGTCTCTTATACACATCTAGATGTGTATAAGAGACAGGACTTCCTCTCTCCTCTCAGACCTAGTAACCGGGTCTGCCAGATGTAACCGAATTACCTAGAGAGAGTCCCTCCCTTCATCCTTGTTACCTTGTTTGCTCGGCCTCAGACTTTCCCCCCCTCTTTTCAAACCGTCTCTCTGTATCCTTTGGGCCATGACACTCCGTTCTACCTTCTTATTCCGGGATAGTCTACCACCTTTTCTGACCTATTTCCTCCCCTGTGCCCTCATTTAGTCAACTTCCTTGGGACTCTTGAAGCATAGAATCCAATCCCGTTCGTCCTAGACCATGATTGATACCTCCGACCTTGTCTGTTGACGAGGATTCCTTTCCGGAATTGAATTATGCCAATCTTTCCACTGTATCCGGTCCTCACTCAATTCTGCAATCTTGCCCTTTAACAGCCAGCTGTTATAGAACCTCGCCCTTTCCTTCTTCCGTTGGTCTTCGTCCTCTGACCAGTCTTGTTTGATCTTTCGCCATCTGCACAGGATTTCCGCTTGAATCATCATTTTGGTTTCCAGCCATACCTTCTCCCTATGGTTGACGTGCCCTTCGATTGTCCTGCTGCATCTTTCCTTCCATATGACCCATAGTGTCACTTTCCTGATGAGTTCAATCCAGATTCTTTCCGCCCTCCGAGCCTGATTGGGGATGTTAGTCAAGAGGAGCAGTTGGAGGGGTTGTGTGGGGAAGGAAGATGTGAAAAGGGAATTCCAGAGTGAGGAGGCTCTCGCCCAGTATTCCGTGGCCTCGTTGCAGAGGACTGGACAGTGGACTACATCTTCAACCGCTCCGTCCGTGGAGAAAGTGAGGGGTTATGATTGGGAGGAATGGGAGGGGGGAGGGGTGGGGGCGTGGGGGGGAGTTAGAAGAAGAGGGGAGGAAAGGGGGAGAAGGGTGGGGGAGGGTTGGAGTATGAAGAGGGAGGGAGGAAGGAGGAAGAGGGGAGGCAAGGTACAGGGTAAGGAGGGTGGGCTTAGTGCTTTTTGGGGGTGAGTTACTCACGTTTTTCTCTATTTCCTCTATTCTTTCCATTTTTCTCCACTCGGCATTGGTCATTAGGCATTCGAATAGCAACGCAGCCATCCTGATCACCAATCTCATCAATCTCATATTCATCCTCAATCACTTTGTTCATCTAATCAACAACCTGATCAGCAACCTTTTCATCAACCAACTACTTTCGTACTACTTGTGTAATTAATTTCGTAATTAATCTCGTAATTAATTTCGTAATTAATATCCTGGACTCCTCCTTTTCTTATCTTCTCTTTTCTAAAGGCATGGTAACCATGCCGTGATATCTACAAAACTAATTTCCTAAATCATAATTACTTATTATTACTATATATTTAGCTTCGTTGCTAAAATCACTCAAGAGTCAAAACACAACCACACAGTCTCCACTTTTCCAGGGGTTACGGCCAATCACACCACCACTCAATTCAGAACAAATATTTCATTAAATTTCTGTTTGATCTATTTTAACTTTCAATCTTCTTTTTCTAATGATGCATTGATGGGACGTTTTATTGGGGAAGGTATTGAGGGGGGGAGCACTACTCTGCAAGGGCTTCACAAGGTGGGGGGTGATTGCCCTGAAGGGGGTAGGAGCAGAGTTTGGGGGTGTTTTTTTTGGGGGGCTGGCACGTGCACAATATCGGCAGTGTATCCCAGTGGAGGCAGAAAAAAGCCAGGGGCGGTCTGAGACATACTTCGGGTGGGAACTGGATGTCTCTGAAGGAATAACGGGGGAGGGGGGGATCTGTCTCATGCTGGGGCTGATGGGGAACGTCTCTCATTAGGACGTTTTTTTGTTGGCGGGGGCATCGTTGGGGCAGGGGATGAAGAAGGAGGAGGGTGTCCTGAGGTGTCATCTGCATCAGCAGCATAACAAAAATTTATAGGTTCTGATAATCATTTAATGGCAGTCATCAATAACTTCCCAGCTTCTTCAGCAATCATCTCCAGGTGTCAAGTGGTGGTGAAGGTCTATCTGTTTCTTTGACGAGGCTGCTCTGCTTAGAGGTCTTGGTTGGCCAATGCCAGAACGATGCTGGCTGGTGCTCGGGTGCTGCTCTGTAACCTGTTTCGCAGGAGCATGAGGCCTGGTAGAGAGATCTGGGGTTTTGCCGTAGGGGGGGGGCATGCTAGTGGTTGACTGGGAACTGCCGCGAGATCAACGAGGGCCAGAGCTGGGGTGGGTTACGCTGCCCTGTAGCCCAGTTTCTTGGGAGCGTGAGGCCGGGGATAGGTCTGGTGGTGAGAATGTGGAAGTTTTGTGGGCATTCGGATAGGATAGCAGTGTCACTTGTTTTGTGGGTGTTTGGTAGAGGTGGAGGCGAGAGGTTATTCATGGGCCCATTCAGAGTAGTCACGCCGATGGTCAGCGCCCCTGGATTGGTCGGGGGCCGACCAGCATACTGTCGGACTGGTCGGCACCTACCAGTCGGGGGTCAGTTGGCACCCCACCACAAAAAAAAACAAAAAGGGTCCAGAACCTCAAATAACCCCATCAACACCCCCATAGGTCCCCCTAACAACCCCGTACACTTCCCAGCACCCCCATGCCGCCCCCCAACCCCTTCATATACCCCCTTTAACCCCCTACAACCCCCCTATGGGCCCCCTATACCTCCCCCATACCCCCCTGCGATCCCCAAAAGTTTCTCAGCGTATTTGGGCTACACTCAGCAAGCGCATTACAGCCCTGAACTCAGATTTGAAAAAAAAAGTGGATGGCCCTCTACAGACTGCCGACAAGTCCGCCTACAGGTCGGCCTGACTGGTAGGCGAGCCGACGGCCTATGGTAGGCGTCGGCCATAGGCCGTCCAATTATCCGTGCTATGTAAGCTTGTCTGGCTTTATGCTATCCTAGGCGTCATTTCAGTTTCCTCACATATCAGATACAGGATTTTAGAGGTGTTACAAGCCTGGCGGATGCCGTACAAAGCTGGGGGCCTACGCCTGTTGGCCTAACAAAAGAATTGCAAATTCTGAAATATGCACCTGAGCACAGAGTGTTGATAGTAGATTGAGGAAGATAGGTCCAGTGACTGCCGCACTGGACAGTTCAGAGAGAACTGACGAGGTTGTTATTTTTCATTGATTCACTTGCAATTCTTGGGATGAAGTGTTAGTGCCCAAGCTTGTCAATCAACCAGAGGTAGAAGACAACCGCGTTGGTGTGCAGAGAGGTGAGGCGCTTTGTGGAGAAAGCCTTGCGGAGTGGCAGGTTTGCCATTGTTTGTGTGAGGGTGGAGAAGTGTGGTGCTGTGCTGTTGATGGTTGCCCCTGTAGCGGCTGAGGCTGATACCTTGGCCCGGCGTCACATTTCATTTGCATTGGACAGCACTGAGTGTTGGCAGACATAATAGTGGTGTGTGTGTGTGTGTGTGTGTGTGGCAGACGTAGTGTAGTGTGCATGTGGCCGACATATTAGTGTAGTAATTTGCTTGCCCTCACACAACTGCGTTCTGTGAATTCTTGCCTTTTGGTTTCCTGCCAAAACTTGATGCTATCTATGGCAGCTGATATTGTCTTTAAATACCGGCAACAAGTAACACGGAAATTCGAACACATTCAGGGCGACTACTACATTGCACCCAAATTCATGGTACTTCCTTCCTTCCTCCCTCCCTCCCTCCCCCCCCCCCCCCCCCCCCCCCCCTTCCTTGCTCCCATCCTCCCTCCCCTCCTCGCTCCTCTGCTCCCCTCCTCCCTCCCCTCCTCCCTTTCCTCCTCCATCGCATGGCTCCTTGCTTCTCCTACTCGCTCCCCTCCTCCCTTTTGTCCTCCATTCTCTCTCCCCCCTTTCTCTTCCTTCCTCCTTTCCTC